ATTTTCAAATAATTATGCAAATAATTAATTTGACGACGTATAGACACTCGTCACCTCGCCTATACGGCGTTCACATGCATTTCACATAACAAATAATTTAAGGGTTCTATTCCCTCAAGTCAAGGTTAACCACGACACTTACCTCGCTATGCAAATTCCAATAAATTACTCGACCACAGCTTTTCCTTTTAAATTTGTCTCCAAAAGCTTCAAATCTATTCACAAATAATTCGATATACTCAATACAAATTGTAGGAATTAATTCCATATGAATTTACTAATTTTTCGGATAAAAATCCAAAATTCACTTTAAAAATTGACAGTGGGTCCCACATCTCAAATCTCGGAAAAACTTAAGAAATCCGAACACCCATTCCGAGACGAGTCCAACCATACAAAAATTATTAAATTCCGACATCGGATTGACCTTCGAATCTTCGTTTTACATTTTTTGGAAGGTTTTGTAAAAATCTAATCTTTCTTCCATAAATTTATGGATTCATGATGTAAATGAGTATGTAATCATGAAATAATCAATATAGGATAAGGAACACTTACCCCAATTTTTTCCCATGAAAATCGCCCAAACATCGTCTAAACCGAGTTCCCCAAACTCCAAAATGAGTAAAATGGCTAAACTCCCCGTTTTATGGGGTTTCTGGCATTTTCGAGCGCCACAGGTAGCGTGGGGAGCCGCCTGTGGCGCACTTTCCAGAACACCAATAATTTCCAGCGCCAGGGCTAGCGCCCCACGCTACCCTAGGCGCTGGCAGCTACGAAAAATCTTTCCTGACACGAAAATGGGCATAACTCTCTCATACGATGTCCGAATTCGACAATTCTTTTTGCTATGGCTCCAAAATTTCAATACGGATCTAATGCTTCCATCAAAACTGAATTTGGAATTCATTTGCTTAATGGGATACCACTTATTCTTGAAGAAACGACGTCGAATGTTCTTGAAATGCCAAAATTAAATTTCGTTGAACACCCGAAATCCACCCGAGGCCCTCGGGATCTCAACCAAATATACCAAAAAGTCCTAAAACATTATACGGACTTACTCGGGGTCTCATATCACGTCAAACGACACTGAAATTATAATTCACACCTCGATTCGATCTTTTGAGTTTCCAAACATTTCAATTTACAAATCTTGCGCCAAAACATGTTAAATGAATCCGGAATGACTTTAAATTTGGCACACAAGTCATAAATGACATAACGGAGCTATTCAAATTTTCCAAATCGGATTCCGACTCCAATATCAAAAAGTCAACCCCGTGGTCAAACTTGGAAATCTTTAGCCTTTAAATTGCTAGTTCCGTTAAATGGTCATAACTTAAGCTAGGGACCTCCAAATTAAATTCCGGGCATACGCCCAAGTCCTAAATCAAGATACGGAGCTACCGAAACTATCAAAACACTGATCCGGGTCCGTTTGCTAAAAATGTTAACCAAAGTAATCTCACTTGAATTTTAAAGCTCTATTTCACATTTTAATTCATTTTTCACATGAAAACTTTCCAGAAAATTTTACGGACTACGCATGCAAGTCGAGAAAGGATAAGTGGTGTTTTTCGAGGTCTTAGAACACAAAATTACTTATTAAATTTAAAGATGACATTTTGGGTCATCACAATACCTTCCTCAAGCACCTTTTGTTTTACCAATAATACATGTATTACATTTACTGCATTTCAAAAATTTATTGATGAAGATGTTGCTGCAGTCAGCATCGCAGAAATTAATAATTTGATTTCTCAAAATAATTATTTGAGTTTATATGTTAAAGTTTTGGGTGAACAAATCAGTTTTCTTGATAAAAAACTTAATGAATTAACTGTTTTGATAAAAGATATGAGTACTAGCAAGAAGACAACTGATATTGCCTCTACATCTGGAAGCAAATCAGAACCTCAAATTGTTCTTACTCATGTTCAAAGACCCCCTGATATTCAGGATTTTAAATTCAAATCTTTAAATGATTTAGAAGAACTTCTTGATAAAAAGTTATCTCGTTTAAATATTAAACCTATTGATTTATCAAAAGATTTTGCTGATAAATGAGATACCACTTTTTATTATAAAAATGAAGTTTTGTCAGAGTTTAATAAACTCAGAGGTTATCCCAAAAAGAATAGTAAGTATGCTAATAAACCCAGAATGCAAACTTATCAGATATTTTAATAGAGAAACGTGATTGAAATCAGACTAATACGTCTTATAGTGGTTCCGAAATTTATGAATGGAATCTTGATGGTTTGACTGATAAACAATTGACTATTCTTGTGCATAGAATGCTTATGTATGCAACTATCTGTAAAAGTGTGAAAAATACAGATAGAACTATTTGCAAAATGATTGTTGCAGGTTTTACTGGCCAGCTTTGTAGCTGGTGGGATAATTATTTAACTGCTGATGAAAAGGCGATGGTTATTAATGCTATAGCCACTGACGAAGGAGTTGATAACTTAGGCATGACTCTAGTGAAAAATAGAGAAGATGTTGTTTACACCCTTGTTCTTACCATAATAGAACATTTCAATGGTAGATTTACCAATCAGAACGAGACTGTCCGTACTCTGCTAAATGGCCTTAGATGTAAGACCTTAAGCGAGTTTAGATGGTATAAAGATACTTTTATGAGTAGAGTAATGGAATTACCCGAAAATAAGTATGAACATTGGAAAGCTAAGTTTATAGATGGCCTTCCCTCCTTATTTGCTGAAAGAGTTAGAAAAACTCTAAGGGGTAGTTACGGAAAAATTCCGTACAAAGATTATACTTATGGAAAATTGATAGAAGTATGCACACACGAAGGATTAAACTTGTGCAATGAGTTAAAATTGTCCAGACAGCTTAAGATAGATAAGCTTAAAGAGAAATCCCAATTAGGAGACTTTTGTACCCAGTTCGGATTACCCGGTTTACCCGAGACTTCTACTCATAAGAAGAAGAAACACAAATATCATACGTACCCAAATCCAGACAGTCCTTATAAGAAAAAGAGATCGAGATATAGATCCAAAGAAGAGCGTGATGCTAAGAAAGCCCATCGCAAGTGTACTAGATTTACGAAAAATAGGTCCAAGCGAGATCTTGCTGATATTAAGTGTTATAAATGTGGAAAATTTGGCCATATAGCTCCAAATTATAAGCTTCAAAAGCTGAAAACCTTAGAACTAGACAATGAGTTACGTGATAAGGTCTATGGTTTGTTATACACTTCTAGATCAAAATCTGATTATTATTCTGAGTCAGAATCAGAAGCTGAAACCGATTTACTTGATTTATCTGATAGTGATAAAAATATTGATAATACTTATACAGCTTGCAAAGGTAATACATGTACTTGTGATGATGATGAATTTTATAAATTACAATCTCAATTTCAAGATTTGAACATGAAAACTATTACATCTGATAATGTAATAGAACTTTTAAAAGAAGTAACTGATGATGAACTTCGTGAAAAAATTATTAATTTGGCTGCAAGTTCAAGTTCTAGTTCTTCAAAACCTTTTGAAAAACAAAAGAACGAATTTGAATATTCTGCGCCTTACTCTTTGTCAGAAATTAATAACCGGCTTAATAATAAAATTGCACCAACCAGGGATGCTTCTTTCGATGATTTAAAAATTGAAATTGAAAGTCTAAAAATGGAGATTAAATCTCTTAAACAAAATCAAATGATTTTTGATCACAGGATTACTCAGATAGAGAAAAATAGTTCTGTAACTGAGTTTTCTAATGATAAAAACAAAGGTATTTCTGAAAATGATATTGAAGAAAAACCTATTAGACTTGATTCTAAACATGATATGTTGTTGGGAATTATGCAAATTGTTACTGCCCATAAATGGTATATCAAATGTACTATTCTTATTGATAATAGTTTTTCTATTACAAATATTGCTATGATTGATAGTGGAGTTGATGTTAGCTGCATCCAAGAAGGTTTAGTACCTACTAAATATTTTCAAAAAACTACTCATATGGTTAAATATGCATCAGGACATGCTTTAGATATAAAGTATAAATTGCCTAATACGGGTATTTGTCAGAATAAAGTCTGCATTCCTCACTTCTTTTTCTTGGTTAAAAATCAGTTATACCCTCCAATTATACTTGGAACACCNAGAAGGTTTAGTACCTACTAAATATTTTCAAAAAACTACTCATATGGTTAAATATGCATCAGGACATGCTTTAGATATAAAGTATAAATTGCCTAATACGGGTATTTGTCAGAATAAAGTCTGCATTCCTCACTTCTTTTTCTTGGTTAAAAATCAGTTATACCCCCCAATTATACTTGGAACACCGTTTATTAACGCTATTTATCATTTTACTAGCATAGACTCAAAAGATTTTATAGCTACTTATAAGGATAGAAAGATAAGTTACACTTTTGTTACAGATCCCATAACTAGAGATATGAATGCTTTAATTGATATGAAGGAAAGACATATTTATTCGTTACAATTAGAATTATTTAGTATGAATATATTTGACACTTTAAAATCCAATAAAGTGCAGGAAAAGATTAAATTGATTTCCGAACAAATTACTATTGATGTCCGAACAAAGCACTAGGATCTGTAATTGAGATTGTAATTTATAAAATTCATCATCATCACAAGTACATGTATTACCTTTGCAAGCTGTACAAGTATTATCAATATTTTTATCACTATCAGATAAATCAAGTAAATCGATTTCAGCTTCAGATTCTGACTCAGAATAATAATCAGATTCTGATCCAGAAGTGTATAACAAACCATAGACCTTATCACGTAACTCATTGTCTAGTTCTAAGGTTTTCAGCTTTTGAAGCTTACAATTTGGAGCTATATGGCCAAATTTTCCAAATTTATAACACTTAATATCAGCAAGATCTCACTTGGACCTATTTTTCGTAAATCTAGTACACTTGCGATGGGCTTTCTTAGCATCATGCTCTTCTTTAGATCTATATCTCGATCTCTTTTTCTTATAAGGACTGTCTGGATTTAGGTACCTATGATATTTGTGTTTCTTCTTCTTATGAGTAGAAGTCTCGGGTAAACCGGGTAATCCGAACTAGGTACAAAAGTCTCCTAATTGGGATTTCTCTTTAAGCTTATCTATCGTAAGTTGTCTGGACAATTTTAACTCATTGCACAAGTTTAATACTTCTTGTGTGCATACTCCTATCAATTTTCCATAAGTATAATCTTTGTACGGAATTTTTCTGTAACTACCCCTTAGAGTTTTTCTAACTCTTTCAGAAAATAAAGAGGGAAGGCCATCTATAAACTTAGCTTTTCAATGTTCATACTTATTTTCGGGTAATTCCATTACTCTACTCATAAAAGTATCTTTATACCATCTAAACTCGCTTAAGGTCTTACATCTAAGGCCATTTAGCAGAGTACGGACAGTCTCGTTCTGATTGGTAAATCTACCATTGAAATATTCTATTATGGTAAGAACAAGGGTGTAAACAAAATCTTCTCTATTTTTCACTATAGCCATGCCTAAGTTATCAACTCCTTCGTCAGTGGCTATAGCATTAATAACCATCGCCTTTTCATCAGCAGTTAAATAATTATCCCACCAGCCACGAAGCTGGCCAGTAAAACCTGCAACAATCATTTTGCAAATAGTTCTATCTGTATTTTTCACACTTTTACAGATAGTTACATACATAAGCATTCTATGCACAAGAATAGTCAATTGTTTATCAGTCAAACCATCAAGATTCCATTCATAAATTTCGGAACCACTATAAGACGTATTAGTCTGATTCCAATCACGTTTCTCTATTAAAATATCTTGAGGAGTAGGACGATTATAATAATAAGTTTGCATTTTGGATTTATCGACATACTTACTATTCTTTTTGGGATAACCTCTGAGTTTATTAAACTCTGACCAAACTTCATTTTTATTATAAAAAGTGGTATCTAATTTATCAGCAAAATCTTTTGATAAATCAATAGGTTTAATATTTAAACCAAATAACTTTTTATCAAGAAGTTCTTCTAAATCATTTAAAGATTTGAATTTAAAATCCTGAATCTCAGGGGGTCTTTGAACATGAGTAAGAACAATTTGAGGTTCTGATTTGCTTCCAGACGTAGAGGCAATATCAGTTGTCTTCTTGCTAGTACTCATATCTTTTATCAAAACAGTTAATTCATCAAGTTTTTTATCAAGAAAACTGATTTGTTCACCCAAAACTTTAACATATAAACTCAAATAATTATTTTGAGAAATCAAATTATTAATTTCTGCGATGCTCACTACAGCAACATCTTCATCAATAAATGTAACGACACTACCGGTCGTTTCGAGAGTTATAACCCCGTTTTCCTCATTTCTACTTCTTTTTTTGTTATTCAGCTATATTATGTTATATCGGGTTAGTGGGTTTTCGTCCAGAAGGAACTCAGAGTTAAATGAGACACTTAAAAGTGGACCGGATATGGACCTATGTGTAACCGACCTCGGATTTAAATTTTGATGATTCCAATTGCTCTGTATGGTGATTTTGGGCTTAGGAGCATGTCCGGAATATTGTTTGGAAGTCCGTAGAGGAATTAGGCTTGAAATGCCGAAAGTTTTATTTTTGAGAAGTTTGACCGGGGGTTGACTTTTTGATATCGGGGTCGGAATCCGATTCTGAAAAATGGAATACCTATGTTATGTCATTTAGGACTTGTGTGCAAAATTTGAGTTCAATCGGACGTGATTTGATAGGTTCCGGAGTT